ATGGACTTGGAATGGTGCTCAGGACCATCCATGACTTAGCAGGCCCTTTCACTGATATCAGAAGAGTGGGCCCTTTTCCATCCAATCACTAGAAAATTTTCCAATACAAAATATCCTAATTTCCTAATATCCAAGACCTGTGAGAATGCATACGCCTCTGTTACCTTATTTTATTCAGAGACTGACTGTGTTTACATCTTCATACTCCTCCCCTGTGCCTAGGATGGTACTTTATACAATGTAGGTACTTAGTGAATAATTATTTTTAAATAAATGAAATAATGTATGTAAAGTCTTTGCAAACCTTAAAGCATTTAAATAAGTGTGAGCTATCATTATCATTATTATTATTGCTATTATCATATTAGAGGCAGCTGGCAAATTCAGTCAGTCAACTAGAATTTATAAAGTGCCTACTGTATGTCAGGCAGTGTGATCTAGGATAAGCTGGTGGATAAAAAGCTGGCCTTGGAGTCAGGAAGACTTGAGCAGACCTAAGGCACGGCTCATGGGGGATACAATGAGGGACACTTTTTAATGTCCTTCTTACCATGGTTCAAGTACCGGCTGTGTAACACGGGGCAAGTCACTTAAACTTACGATGTTCTGGACGATTCTCTAAGACTGTGAAGTGGTGAAAAGGTTCCACTTGCCAATGAAATCACAGGTCCAGTCCCGAGCCCTATTGTTTTAACTAATTAATGAGTGAATCAAAGAATAAAGGGGGAGACCTGTTACAGTCTGAGTATCTCACCTGAATATTAGAAGAAAATTCCCGAGTACATTATTCTGAGAGTGAAAAGTTTTCCTGTTTTGTGTTGGCAGCTTCTGTGTGTCTGACCCTCCGTCCCTGTCTGAATGGAGGGAAGTGTATTGATGACTGCATTACTGGGAACCCCTCCTACACCTGCTCCTGCCTTGCAGGCTTCACAGGGAAGAAATGCCACCTGGGTGAGTGTTTCTCGGGGAGAACGGCACCACGCGCTGATGCTCTTTGAGGTAATGCTGCTGTGATAAACAGCCCAGACCCAGGATACCGGTGGTGTAGGGAATGCCCTCTGCTAAGGTGGAGGCAACTTGGATAGTCTTCAAGAAAAGCATCCCTACTCGGACCATTCTGTAAGCTCCGATTTGGGCTGATTTGGTTTTCTTCACGTGCGGCTTCATGTTCTGTCTTTCAGATGTGAATGAGTGTGCCTCCCGTCCATGTCAGAATGGAGGGACCTGTACACACGGTGTAAACAGTTTCCGTTGCCAATGCCCCCCAGGCTTCAAAGGGCCCACCTGTGGGACAGGTAAGACACACCACCCAAAAGAAAACCTGCCAGAATCCCTGCCCCTTCAGGTTTCAGACATCCCTCCGGAATCAGAGACGAGAGTCACAGGGCTGTCCAGATGCCAGGCAGCTCGCTGCAGATTCTGTGCAGCAGTAGAAAGAACCTCAGAGCTCAACCAGTCTGATGTGACCCGGGGAGGAATCCCTCTGAAGCACCCGGACAAGTGAAGACCCCCAAAGACGGCACCCGGCACCCCTCGAGGCAGCTCATGCTCCTCCTGGACAGTTTGCAGAGTTGCAAGCTTTTCCGGACATCAAACCCAATTCGGTCCCTTTGCACTTCTACCTATCTCTGCTCTGTAATTAGGACACAGATGGATGGATTCCTGGCTCGGCCCCATGGGGTCCAGGCTTCACTCCAGTAGCCTCTGCTCTAGGGACCTGTTCAGTTTCCTCTTTTGTTCACGTTTTAAACATCATCCTTCTGGTAGCCCTCTGAGTTAGAGGAGACAGTGACCATGATCCCCACTTCACAGATGAGGAAACTGAGGCACAGAGAGTTGACGGGCAAGGTAGAGAGCAAAATGATGATTCCATGGCAGAGCCCAGATTTCCTAAGTGCTTGGTCAGTGTCTTGCTTTGTGAACATGCCGGTCTCTTACAAATGCAGCCTCAGCAGAAAGAGGCACCTGCCCACCCTCCATCCCAGGAGGCTTCCTGCTCCTCAGGGGGATACCTCCCCCTCTGGGTAAAGGCATCCATTCCCACACTGGAACCCCAACTCACAGATGACCAGAGAGAGCCCCAGAGGCCTGGGCAGATCAATTCTCCTCCAGGGATGCATACAAGTGTTGCCATGAAGCCACCGCAGGCAGAGATGGATATCCTCTCTGAGACCTCCAAGGGTTCAAACCACCAACAAAAGATGCTCTCAGTCCTGGTTAAGACCCTCTGGAGACCTCCCGTGGCCACCCACAGCCCTCTGCAGGTCCAGGAAGGGTTGCCTCCTCTAGAGGGGAAAAGACACCCCCCTGCCCTCTGGGGTCGATCCGTTTCCTTGCCGGAAACACCAAGAGCCGTGGCCCAGTCACATCCTTTCAAACTGCCTTTCGAATCACATCAATCTCCCCACATGGTTCTTGAATGGACTGGAGGAGTAAGCCCCAAAAGAGAGACTGTTCTTGTCATCTGCTCCTCAGCATCTCTGCCAGATTCAACGGGGTCCCCTCTGCAAGAAACCAAAAGGAGCACAGCCACCACATGGGAACCCTCACTTGTGAAAAAAGATGCATCCCTTGAGTCCGCACTCCCGACTCGTGCGCCCTTCTGCCCAGTGCCCATGGCTGACCCTGAAGCTGTCCTTCCTCCTAGCCCCAGGACACTGGAGGCAGCCTGGACCCCCGCCGGGGCGGGACACCCTATCTGGCCACTGCTTGCCAGGTTTCTTCCCCCTCTCCAGGCCTCGGTTTCCTCATCTATAAAATGAGGAGGCTGGACGAGATGACCTCTGAGCTTCCTCCTGGCTCTAAGTCTTTGCTTCTCCAATCTTCTGATCTATGCTCCCGTAGCCCCCCCCCCCCCCCCCGGGGCCTCTGTCATCCATTAATCCTACTCAGATGACACCACCTGCCCAGAGGGAAGCTTCGTTTTGGACTCTCCATCTCCCACAGAAAGTCAGACCTGGATTGTCTGCACCATATGGCAGAGAGTCTGCCAAGAGCAGATGGACGGTGGAACACATCCCATGGTTCAGAACAATTCGGCTTCTCAGGGACAGGCCTGTCTGTCAGCACGCAATCATCAAAGCTAAGGAAAAGCCTCCCTTGGGGAGCTGGTGCACTACAAACCAGAGGCCGGGGTCAGGAACCAGGCTCCAAGATCCAGAGGGACAGATGGAAACCGAGAATCCTGGTCAGGGAGAGGGGTCAGGGGCACGGGTTCTGCATAAGGGTGGGAGGCCACTACCAAAGAAGACAGACCATGCCCGGAGGGCTGCTTGTTAGAAGCAATGACGGCCACACCCTGGGCCACGGGCTCCTTGTTGTCAATCCCCTTTGCACAAAAGACACTGATGCTTTCAAAGCTGGGAAGGGAAGGAACGCTGAGGCCACACAACTACTGAAGATGACACGGGTACTGAGACTGAAATCTAAGCCCAGCCCTCTTTCCAGGCTCTTTACAAAGTTGGCTTTGGGGGGCAGCTAGGTAGCGCAGTACATAGAGCTCCGGCCTTGGAGTCAGGAGGACTGGAGTTCAAATCTAACCTCAGATACTTGACATTTACTAGCTGTGTGACCCTGGGCAAGTGACTTAACCCCAATGCCTCACCCTACCCCCCCCCAAAAAAAAAGTTAGCCTTGGGAATCTCACAGGGTCTCTGCTTGACTCTGGCTTGACTGTAGTCCCAGAAAATCATGGACTTCTTTCTCATGAGGCCATTTGTCCTATCTTACCGTGGGCAGATCACAGAACCTCAGAGCGGGAAGAAACCTCGGGGCCATCAGTCCCACACAGAACAAAAGACTCCCCCTACAAGCCCATGGCAGTACCCTCAGCCCCCAGCCCACTGTCCTCTGGAATACCTCTAATTCCCTTACATCAAGCCTCCCTTTGCCTCAGCTGCACCCCCTGCACCCAGTTCTGCCCTTTGGGGCCAGGCTGAACAATCCTAATCCTCCTTCTTTGAGAATGTGCACTGGGCTTGTAGTAAAAGAGCCTTGGGTTTGAATCCTGCCTCCAACACTTACTAGCTGTCTGTATGAGTCACTTAGGCTGTTTCTTCACAGGTAGAGTGGGTTTGACAAGCACTTCTGGCTTCACAGTGTTCTTGTGAGGCTCAAATTGGATAATGCATGTAAAAACCCTTTGCAAACTTTAAAGTGTGATAGAAATGGCAGCTGTGCAGTTTCCCTACTATCTCAGAGAATAATTATGTTAATAATAAAAACAATAATAGTTAGCATTTATAGCATGCTTTAAGGTCTGCAAAGCTCTTTACAAATATCTCATTTATTACATATGTATAATCTATATCTGATTGCTTATAGTTGGGGTGGGGGAGGGGAGGGGAGGGAGGGAGGGATAGAATTTGGAACTCTAAATTAAAAAAACAGTAATTGTTTAAAAATTACTTTAACATGTAATTGAGAGGGAAAATAAAATATACTGAATTTTTGAAACATATTATCTCATGTAAACCTCACAACAACCCTGTAGGTAGGCACTATTATTATTGCCATTTTACAGATGAGGAATCTGAGGTGGACCAAAGGGAACTAACTTGTCCAGGGTCATAACGTGAATAGGTGTCTGAAGCAGAATTTAAACTCAAGTGTTCCTGACTCCAACTCTATCACTCTCCCCACAGAGCCTGAAGCCCAACTCAACCCCCCTTCTCTCTCTACATTCTCTCTTGATAATTTCCTCTACAGAGATGATTCCCAAATATCTCTCTCCAATCCTGACCTTGCGCCCAAGTTCCAGATTTGTATTTCTGTCTATTAGAAATCTTTTCATCTAATTGAAAAGGGATGTCATGTAACTACTGTGTTTATGTCTCCCTTGTTCAGTGGAATCCCCATGTGACACCAAGGACTGTCAGAATGGTGGAGAATGCCAGGCTGGAAATGGGACTGCAGAGTGCATGTGCCAGTCAGGGTACACAGGAGAAAACTGTGAAATCGGTAAGAAGCCAGACAGGCAATTTTTACAAGGAACAGAGTGGCATCGAGGAGAGTGCTGGTATGGAATTCTGGATTCAAATTCCATTTCCAACATCTGCTCGCTGTGTGACTCTGGGCAAGTCACTTACTCTCTGAGTTTTAGTTTCCTCATCTGACAAACGAGTGTGATCCTACCCGCCCTACTGGCCCCCCACCAGAAGACCAACTCACTCATGTCATCTGTGATTCCTCCCCCACAGATATAAACGAGTGTGACTCTGACCCGTGCATGAATGGGGGGAGATGTGTGGATCTGGTGGCTAACTACACCTGCCTGTGTTCAGAGCCCTTCCTCGGCCCTCGCTGTGAGTTAGGTAAGGAGCCTCCCTCCACGTGTGACTGACCGATCCCTCTGTGCGCAGCCACTGCCCCCGTCACATCTCTGCCCCTCAGTTCATCTTGTTTCGCTCTTCCGCTGGCTCTGCCGATTCCTTACCTTCTTCCACCTGAGCCCAGGCCTGCCTCCGGTGCCCTTACGCTCTGCTGATGCTGCCTGGCTCTGCTTTTCCATTCTGTCTAGATCAGTCATCCTGTGAAGACCGGAGCTGCAGGGACAGGCAGACTTGCAACTACATCCGCCCAGGGCGCTACATCTGCACGTGTTCTCCTGGCTACTATGGGAACAACTGTCAGTATGGTAAGCAGCTGGGGTGGCCCATCTCCCTGCCTCACGACACCCACACGGACCGCCACCTGGTGTGGCGTGGGGGTTAGAAGGCAGAGTAGAATGGCTCATTGGGAAAAAGGAGCGTCCATCTACCCGGGCAACTTCTGACTGCCCACGTGCTTTCCAAAGAGAATGAAGAACAGAGGCGTGTATACAGCAAGCCACAGCCATGCAGCGGAGAGGCTCAAGAAGTCAGTTTCAAGTAGTGGCAGAAAGAGGAAGGAGAATCCCCATGTGGTCACTGACCACTGCAAAAAGGCAACGAGGAAAATATCGGTAACTACCCACCCCATGTGTATTTTCTCAACTCGAGGATATCTTTATGAAAATAACCTACACACACACAAAAAGGAATCCTTGATGAAGGCATTTTGCAAACCACATTCCAGCTGACTGAAAGGTTCAGAGAACAAGGGAGTCCTCTACGGTTACCATTTAAGAAAAAGAAAAGCAATTGACTCAGGAGAACAAGCATTGCTTTAAAGAACCTCTTCCAACAAGCTACTTTTGAGATAGAATGACCACCCTGTCATGGCAGATACCCAGCTCGGAGCCAAAATCAAACAGGGATTTCCTACGGATGGGCAGTCCACGGCTCCTATGGATGGACAGGATGAGCCTGGTTGCACATGGCATCATCCTGGTTGTATGAGGCCCCACAACAATGCAGGGTCACCTAAACGAGAGCTAGAATCACTTACGATATTCTGGTCTAATCAACCATACAGGAAAAAATCAAGGGGATGAAGAATGACTGTTGTCCAAACCACGCTTGGCAGCTGGCCAGAAGGCCCACAGAAGTGGTCCGTGAGTATATGTATCTTGGACAAGCACTGCAGATGGACAATGAACTGAGCCCAAAATTAAACAGCAAGAGGAAAGAGGGGAAGCTGACTCCCCAAAGTTCTCCCCAAAACAAAGGCCTGCTCATCTTTTTAGCACCAACATTCTTTTAGTGACACTATAGCACTGCTGGTCATTCAATACCATCGTCTAAAGGGCAGTAGAGGGGTTCATGGTGGGTGTGACAAGGCCAAGGCTTATCAACAACAAAGAGATGAATGGGAGAAAAGACACCAAACATACCACCAAGGAAATGAAGGACAGGAAAAGGAGATGAGTCAGTCGTGCAGCAAGACAAAGGGATGACAAGTAGCACGTGAAGGCTCCATTGGTACTCACATCACGTCTGGCATCTAGACATGCCCCCACTATGTGAGTAGACTCCATGCAGAGGATTTATTGGAAGGTATGGCCAAGAATTATACTGAATGAGAAGGCGGGGATGAGCTGCATTGGCTCCATTTAGGGGAGCAACTGCACTGATGGTATCACATATCCCCTGAAATGCCAAAGTAAATAGAGACGTCTACACTTGTATTCCAAAGCGTCTCTACATTCCACAACCTGGAGTCCCATATGAAGTCTCTTACTACTGTGTCATAACTGACTATCACCTTACGACGTGGCTCTGCCTTGTGAAATGGTTGGGCACTTCCAACAAATATTCTGGTCTTTGGCAAGATCTCGGCTAAAGGACTAGAGCCTGCCAAGGGGAGTTGTCTGGCGGGAGCCTTGGGAAGCAGGATCAGCAGCATTTTTGTCCCGGCGAAGAGAGAAGATCAAGGGAGAGCCGAGGGTGTCTGGGACGTAGGGAGGCACGGCTGAGTTCATCTGGACAGTGGCACTCATCAAAGGGAGATTAAGTGAAGAGACCACTTCAAGTCAATGGACTTCCTTCCCTGCTTCCTACTGCTGATAAAGCATCCTTGGTCACTGCACATGGGAGTTATTTTTAAACCATAACAGAGCCATCTCCATGGGAACGATACGCTGAGAACCATCACTGACCTTGACCTGTCGCTACACAGGGGGCTGGCTGATTGAGGCCCTTGGAGCTGTCTTCTCCTTAGCAGCGCGGGGCTTGCCCCCAGCCCCAGTCCCAGCCCCAGCCCCCTGCACAAAGTCTCACCGTAACAGCCGACGCTGCAATATTTCAAAGGATGGCGACTCTGAGAGTGCGCCCTCTCCTCTATCTTCCCCACAGAGCCCAGCTCCTCTAGGGCCTGGAAGACCTTCCCAAGCTGCTGGGCCCAGCGTGGTGGGGAGCCTTTCCAGGCCTGAGCTCGGTCAGTCTCCAGACATCAAGACCCCAGGCTCACCCCCAGACCACGAGGGTCAGGCTTATGGAGCCCCCTGCAGGTCGCAAAGCACTCTCCTCACGCCCTAGGAGGTGGTTGGGAAGCACCAGATAAGGGAATGGAGCTGCAGAAGGCGTCTGTGGTCAGAGAGAGAGGGAGAATCTTGAACCATCTTAACGCGTCCCAGCACGAGCAGGCCAAGCGACTCACTTCTATCAGATGGGGAAGATGAGGCACCAAGAATATAAGGGGTTTTGTGATGCTCACCCGGGGGCAGACCCAGCCATTCACTCATTCGTGAAGATTTCAGAACCGGTGTCGGGGTTCTCAACCATTCCGTGTCAGGAACCCCACTGGCAGTCTGCGGAAGCCCAGGGACCCCTTTCTCAGAATGATTCCTTTCAGAAATGTTAGATCTCAGCTAGACGTCACTGAAAACGAAGAAGCCGTCTTCCTCCCATCCAAATGCACAGGCGCCGAGTGAAGAGCCCTTGACCTAGGCGACGTCTCCCTCTCTAAGAGTTCTGCAGCGCACAGCCAATCCGACCGAAGTGAATTAAATCTTCCCAGCCGCCCCAGGTCACTGAGAATCGCTGTCAGTGGATGCCTAATGGCGTCCACGTAGGGTAGTGAGAACAAATGAGCCAGGGCAGTCAGACTAGAACAGCTCGGAGCATCCGAGATCCAGACCTGGAAGAGATCTTAGAGGCCGTCTGGCCCAACCCCTTCGTTTTACAGATAGGGATACTGAGGCCTGTGGAACATGAGAAGCGAGATTTGAACTTGAGTTCCAAAGCCAGTGTTCCTTCTGCCAATCACATAATAATCCTTGATGACAGCTGCCCGAGAATAGGGAGACCCAGGTGGGAAATGCTGGTGACTAAGCACTGAGACCAAGAGGCAGAACCAGAGAGGAGATGTCACCACAGGCCTGTTTCTACCTGGCTGGTCAGGCAGCTGCATCTCAGAGCCCGGGGAGGCACCGAGAGAAGACAACAGAATGGCCAAGCTTGGTCCACGCCCTTGGCATGAAATGCTGCAGAGCTCCTCCCTGGGCCAGGGAACCTCTAAAAGTATGGCTACAAGGTGACACAGCACAAGCCAAGGTGGGGCAGTCACCCTGGAGCTGGCCACCACTTCTAGACAGCTATAGAACTGACCATGGCATAACCCGTGCTTGCCTCCCTTGCTAGTTTGACTCCACCCTACTAAAAAACGGATGGCTTTAACCTGAGCCTTGATACATGGGAAGAAGGAGGACGGTCAGCATGGCATCAGGGAAGGAACTGGATTCAAATCCCGTATCTGCTTTTTCTCCTCTGTGTGATGTCAGTCCCTTCCTCTGGCCCTCAGTTTCTTCATCCATCAAGTGAAGGAACTGGATAAGGCTATGTCTAAGCTCTCTCTCCAAGGCTTATTTAGGGAGCTAGGTGGCTTACAGTCAGGAAGACCCAAGTTCACGGTCTGCCTCAGATACTTAGTAGCTGTGTGATCCTGGACAAGTCCTATCTGCCTCAGTTTCTCCACTTGTAAAATAAGGGATAGTACTAGCATCTACTTCAAAAGCTGTCATGAGGACCAAGTAAAATAACATGTTTTCAGCACTTTGCAAAATTTTAAACGTTATATAAATGTTAGCTGTTGCTGTCATTACTCTCTCTCTACTCTCCATTCTGGTCCAATGGGCCTGTTTGTCCTCCCGCCTCTATGCACCCCCTCATTGCCTCTGCTTCCTGGACTCTCTAGCCCCTTTCAAAGCACAGCCCAGTAGCCATCTTCTATAAAAGGGAAGTCAGCACTCAAAATGACCTTGTGTAGTTTTGTGCACTTTGTGTATTTACTTCCCTATTTCCATGGGTCCCCTTCAGTAGAATGTAAGCTCTCTGAGACAGACTGTTTCAACTTTTTTCTGTGTCCCTAAAGCCTCACCCAGTGCCTTGAATACAGCAGATGTTTAACAAGTGTTTGCTGAGTTAAACTCCATTCAAACCTGAAATCTTTGATTTCAGGCCTTATCAAAGCTAGATCTTTAACTGCTGTCAAACAAGGCACGACTGAAATAAGCAGAGACAAGATACCTTCAAGGTCTACTATGCTGAGTACTTTGGGGTACAGGGAGAAGCATAAAATGTGGTCCTGATGGGGAGACAAAATATACATCCATGAAAAGCAAACTAATGAGATTATCCCAGCCTCTCCCTTCACGAGCCCTCTCTCCATCCCCCTGTGATTCACTGTGGTGTCTTCCTGCAGGAGGCCCCAGAATCCCAAGTGCCTGTCTCTCCAATCCATGCCAGAATGAGGGCACCTGCCTGGAAACAGACCAGGGCTACCTCTGCGAGTGCCCAGATGGATACACAGGCTCCGACTGTGCAGAAAGTAAGCATGATGTTAGTTCTAACCAGAGTCTCCTGGGTCCTGACACCCTCTGTGGGGTGCGGCACAGCAGTCAGAGCGACTGTCTGGTTAGACACTGAGAAATAGCCAGGGTCATTCTGAGTGAACGATTCCAATCTCCACTTGCTCCCACTGCCAGGACACTGGTCAGTTTGCTCAACAGTCATCTCACCAGTTCTTCAATGGGGAAGGGTCGATGGAGTGGGCATGTGTTTCCACAGGGCAGTGTGTGTGTACACCACCATTATGAGTGTGGATGAATGTGTTTACGGGAGTGCATGTTGGGACAGAGAAGACAGTGGGATGGAAGGAAAGAATCACTCAGGTCGTGACAAAGGCGTCACTAGTCATTCATCTCTTCCCTCTTTGCTCCCCTCTTGTCCACACACAAAAATGAGAGGGAGGTGGTTAAGTCTTTCAGAAAGAAACTTGGCATTCCCACAACCGGGCAGCCAGGGAGGGAAGCGGCAGCTATCGTCTAACTGAAAAGAACACCGGTTTTTTTTCACCTTCTGATGCTGCCTATAGATAGAGTTTATTTTAAAGCCAGGGAGAGCCCAGACTTTTGGGTTGTTAGGCCATGGAACGAGGGCAAGTCGGAGGGGCCAAGGGGACTTCACAGCAACATCGTTCTGGGGAGTTTGATTATGCCTACGTATCCCTGTGCTGTACAGGCTCCTGGGAAAAGTCTCATGAATTAATTTGGATTTAAGCTGCCTGAGGTCTCAGACAGACTTGGCAACAGTAGGCTTCCCGACAGCACCTTCTGAGCACTCTGTGTTCCCCTGGACACACCTGGGTCAGAAGTCCCAGGATTCTGGCAACCAGGAGGACAGGACCCTAACACTCTGGCTCCTTCCTTCTTTTTCTGGAATTTTTGTTGATATCATTCATTTTCCACATCTCCCAGGATCTTCCTCCAACCCCCTCACAGAAAGCTATCCCATCTACAAAAAAATATTTTTAGAGAAAAAGAGGACAATTCAGCAAAATTGATTAATCTATCAAAAATTCTGAAACCCTAAGCAGTGATGCCTGCCCATGGATCTCCCAATGGCAGAGCAGTGGGTGCAAGTGTTTTCTCCTTTCTCCTCTTTGGGGCCATGCTTGATGTTTCTGTAATTGTGCATCTCTCCCTTTGGATTTTCTTGTGGGTTTTGCTATTTCCACGTCCAATGTTGTCGTTACTATTTACTCGGCTTTCTCGGTTCTGCATCGGCTCAGCACATCTCCCCAGGCTTTTCAGGTTCCATCCCACTCATCACTTCCTACTGGCACCGATATTCCATCAGATTCCTCTGCCGTAGTCAATCGAGCCCTTCCCCCAATCAATGGCAGCTACCTTGTTTCCAGGTCTTTGCCAGCACAAAAAATGCTGCTACAAATATCTCCATGTCTCTGGGACTTTTCCTCTTCTCAAGGTGTCTTTGTTTCTTGGTCGGTTCCAGAGCTCCCAGAAGACTGTGAGTGCCGGAATGGGGGGAGATGCCTCGATGGAAATTTCACCCTCTGCCACTGCCCCCCAGGATATTTTGGAATCCTTTGTGAATTTGGTAGGGACCACAGGAGGAAAACGTCTCTCCTTTTGCTGCCCTCACAACAAAACTCCCTGCCCCTGTCCAAAGACCATGCAGCAGTGCTCCTGGCTGCCCACTGGCCCTGCCCACACTGCACCTCTTCCATCCCCCTAGGGGCTGCTGCTTCTCCCCCGTGGGTGCATCTCCAACTTGACTTAGCAACCATCACTTGTTGGGTCATCTTCAGTGAAAAGCACTTCTTCAGCAAGACAGGACTCCCTGGTCCCTAAACATACACAGCTGTTGATGGGCCAGTCATTTAAAGTCCCTGGGCCTTCAGTTTCCTCAATGACAATTAAAAAGGGGGTGGCAGAGGGAGGGGGGGAGAGACAGGGAGAGAGAGAGAGAGAGAGAGAGAGACAGAGAGATCCACAGTAGCCAGACTGCTCACAGCCAGCAGGGGAGGATGCCTGGGTGTTTTCTCACTTCTAATCTGGGATGCCCCGGACAAGTCAATGGTAAAGGTGAGGGCCGTGGTTTTACTGGGAGGAGCACATTCTCACTGAAAGGAATCTGACTGGCCCACCATCTTTGTTGCTACAAGCAAGGAATGGGTCAGTGGAACTCCCAAGGTACAATCAAGCCATATGGAAGGTTCCAAAGTGACCAGGGCAGGAGTACCAAGGAAGGAGAATGTCTAAAGCAAAAACAGTCTATCACCAGAGAGGCTGATCTCAGTTGTATTGTACACAGCAGGCATTTAACAAATTCTTGTTGAGTTTAACTGGATTCTGAAAACACAAACAAAAAACAAACCACAAGTCATTTTGACTTCCACACCATCATCCAGAAAAATGCGGGCAGGTACGGATGCACAGATTTTCCTTTGGATCTAAACAACCCGGCTCAGAGACAAAGTAAAGAGAGCAGGAAGCTTTTGTGTTTAGCATATACCACCTGTATCTGTTTCTAGACCAGAAAGCAAACCATGTGATGGAGAATCCGTGATTCACATATGCCTGTGCTGACTTAGTTTCAATTGGGTTAGGCATGGGGCGTGCCTTCCCACTTGAATCTGGGTCTGTGAATCCAAAGCCAGAGAAAGAAACGTGCATGGCTTGGGGGGGTCGGGCTTCTTCCTTGTCCCTGCAGAAGTCACCGCCACACCGTGCAACGTAAACACCCAATGTCCTGACGGCGGTTACTGCATGGAGTATGGCGGGAGTTACCTCTGCGTGTGCCACACTGACTACAGTACCAACCACTGTGAGTGGGGATGGAGGGGATGGGGGAGAAAGGCACAGGAGGAACAAAAGAAGGGTGAGGGCTGCCTCTGAGTGTCAGAGTGATTTAAGGAAAGGCTCCTCAGAAGCTGGGCCATGGGGTGGGTCATATAACCAGTGGGGAGGAAAGGGGCCCGGAAAAGGCATCCTGGCTTCATTCCAACGCTAACTAGCTGTGTGACCTTGGCTAAGTCACTTAAGCTCTCTAGGCCTCAGTTTCCCCATCTGTAAAATGAGAGGACTGGACTCAACCATCTCTAAGGTCCCTTACCTCTCTACTACTTCTACATGAAGACCTAGAAAGGAGAGGGAATGGATCTGGGTACAAACCAAGAATGAAAACTATTCAGGAAAAAAATGGACACTTTTGTGAATTCTGGGCACCCCAGATTAGAAGACATCTTGATATACACACGCTTGGGAGATAAGGGGCGCACCCCTTCCACTGCTTGCCATCCTTTCAGGAAGGCTGTGCAAGGAAGCACATTTGACCATCTGGTGTTTCTACTTCCCCAGCTCTGCCCTCTCCCTGCGACTCAGATCCCTGCCTCAACGGGGGCTCCTGCGATGCTCATGATGACTCCTACACCTGCGAGTGCCCACGAGGCTTCCATGGCAAGCACTGTGAGAAAGGTATGGCCACCAGGCTCATCCTCCCTCTAGACTGCCCCCTTTATACTACTACCCGACAGGTTTGGTGATTTGATAAAGGGCTGAGCACTGCCCATCCATGCGACCACGGGGAAGTCACCTCAGCCCTCTGACCCTCAATGTCCTCAGAGCACTGGTTCTGAGCTTAGAGGATCTAGATTCTGATCCCACCCCTGATACTGACCACCTGTGTGACCAGAGTCAAGTAGCTCTGCGGCCTTCCTCCTCATCTATTTAAGACAAGGACCACCCAAAGCACCATCACAAGAGAGTCACATCAGTCCAACTGCAGGCCCTAGGAATTCTCGAGGAACCCCCAGCCAAGTAGCCCCAGCACTGCCATGGTCACCCCAGGGCTTGATCCAGGTTCAACACAGACCTGCCAGATGGTCTCTCCATTGGCCTCCCAAAGATTTAAAAAGATGAGGGAAAGGAGGAAGCAGGTCCATATTGGCTGTCAGTGACTATGAGGCTGCAATGGAGTCCTTCCCCAGAGTCATAACAGTACTTTTCATGCCTGGGGCAAGCTTCACAAACTATGCCCCAAGGAAACAGCATAAAGAGTGAATCATATAAACTTAAGACAAATTCTGCAGGGGCATCTTTAAGTGACCTTCATTCTCAACACTACTGGCAGTAAAGTCCAGACCCTAGCTACACCCAAGGGAGCCATGATTCAGGTGGGAAATGTCCTCCCCAAGAAAAAGCCTCTGGTTGAGGTCAGGGTTCTGAGATCAAAAACAATTCCAAGCCTAGAGGCAGGAAGCATCTCACAGGTGGTGGGCCTGGCTCTTCCTCTCTCTTCTCTTTCCTCAGTAAGGCCGAGACTGTGCAGCTCTGGGCCCTGCCGGAACGGTGGGACATGCAAGGAGTCCAACGGGGAGTACCAATGCAGCTGCCCCTATCGGTTCACAGGGAAGCACTGTGAGATAGGTAAGGCCCTCACATCAGAGACCAGCAAATGAAGGTCCAGGTTGGGAAGGCACAGGGGGCCTACAGCTGCTGACTCCTCTTGGTTATGTTCTGTGTTCTGTTTCCAGGAAAGCCAGATTCTTGTGCCTCTGGCCCTTGTCAGAATGGAGGGACCTGCTTCCATTACATCGGCAAATACAAGTGCGACTGTCCACCAGGGTACTCAGGGCGGCACTGTGAAATAGGTAAGGGATGTGAAGCCAGCTCCAGGTGGGCAAGTGTGCTCAGTGAAGACTCTAAACCTGAAGCTAACTTCTTCCCTAGGTAGAGGCAGGGCTCCAGCAGGCCAAGTGGGGACCCCAACATTTCTCATTTGACACTAGGCTTCGTAGATCATACTCAGGCTACCTAGGGATTGGATCTTTAGATCTCAGAAACAATGACTCATAGAACCTCAGATTCAGAGAACACTTGTATGCCATGCCCCATATCCAGCTGATTTGAGTTCCAAGGTCCTGTGGATGGAAGGAGTTTTATGAGGCAAGTCACATGACAAGGTCCATGACACCTGTTTGACCACTCACTACCTCCAAAGTGTGTTTCCAGAAAGATACTAGACCCGTGAAGGGATATGAAGAGAGGGATGTGAAGGGAGGAGGAAGTTCCTCTCCCAAGCAGAGAATCATAGGGTCTCACAAAGAGAAGGGTCCATGGAGGTCCCTGAGATCACTACCTGCCTGAGGCCTGAATTCCTTCTTCAGCCTCCCTGGCAAGTGGTCAGTTATCCTTGGATTGAACATCTCTAGTGATGGGAACTCCACAAACTCATGCAGGGAAAAACAAAACACTATATTCCATTTGGGGACAGTCATCAATGTAAGGAGTGCTTCCTCAAATCAAGCCTCAATATGCCTATCTGTAACTTCCACCCAACACTCCTCATTCAATGTTGTGAGGAGGCCTCGCCCCTCCTCCACATCCTCCACATCCTCCACATCCACATGATAAGTACTTAGTAAGCACCTGCTGTGTACCGCCATTGTGCTAGGTATTGTGGGTATGATGACAAAGGACAAAATAGCCCCTGCCTTCAATGGGTAATGAACAACTGGAGGAAAACAGTGTGGATTCCAAAAAGTAAATGCAAAACAGACACAATATAGACACCAAGTAACTTCTGGGTGAAGGAGTCTAGCAACTGGGGGGATCCATCATGGCAGTCTTCCTGTGGAAAGTGGTGTTTGAGTGGAGCCTTAAAGGAAGCTAGGGAGCCTATGAGACGGAGGTGAGGAGGGAGAGCATTCCAGACATGGGAGATAGCTTGGGCAAAAGCATGGTGATGAGAGATGAAATGCCACGTGGAGAAACAACAAACTGGTCAGTTTGGACGGAAAATATTAAGTGTGAAGAGTAATTTGCAATAAGTTTGGGAAGATAAGCCAGATCCAGACTGTGAATGTCCTTAAAAGTCAACTAGGAGTTTGTCTTTTATCCTCGAGGCAAGAGGGAACTTGGAGAGAGTTGTGTTTTCCCCAAGCCTTATTTTCTTCAGATGAAACATCTCATCTCCAGGTCTTCCCACTGATGATCCTCATATCGCGTGGTTTCGAGACCCTTCACCATCCTGGTCACCATCCTCTAAACATTTGTCAATGTCTCTCTTAAACTATGGGGCCCAGAAGTGAACCCCTGCTCCAGAGGTGGTCTGGTCTGACCAGGGCACAGCAAAGCGGGATGATGACTTGCTTTCACCGCAAGTCACACAGCCTAACATCACAATCTACCCTTTGGCTGCAAGCCTCTTCAGCTCCCAGTCACCTGCAATGATTTTCTGGCCCCCAGAGCAGGACTCCCGATTTATCCCCATCAGATTTAGCTTGTTATTCCAGCCAGATACATTTTTGGATCCCAAGTCTGTCATCCAGAATCTCTTCCTTTCTCCCTTGTGCCGTCCATCAATGGACAAGCCATTCATGTCCTTATCCAGGTCCTTATAGGAAGAGTTAGAGAAAGGGGCAGAATTCTGCCCTCTAAAAGTCTAGCTACATTTCCCACCTATGGAAGTCATCACCATGGACTGAGGTCCTCCAATAGTTTCCATCAGAGATTCATGTACAACGGAGTGGACCCAGCCTAGCTACTGCCATGTCACCAAGTTGCATGCTCTGATGTGGGGTTTTGCCACAATCCCCAAGGTCCATTTCAGAGCATGGCCCATAAGGATCCTGACTGAGGCCATTTAGATTGAGGTCTGGGTGGGTTCCATGTCCTTTCTGGCTGTCCCTTTCCAGCTCCCTCTCCTTGCTTTATGAGCCCCTGTGAAAATGGCGCCACCTGCAACGATCTTGGCAAAGACTATACCTGCCGCTGCCGTGCTGGGTACACTGGGAAACGCTGCCAGTCAGGTAAGGTCCCAACAATGAATTACGCATTTGCTACATGTCAGGTATTGTAGGAAGTGCTGGGGAAAGTAAGAACAGGCCCTGCCCTCAAGGCAGAGACAATACATGGTAGCTAGGCACCTAGAAGGTACATGTCAAATAGATCTAGTAAGGCAATCTTACAGGGGAAAGCACTGGCAGCTGGGAGTACAGGGAGAGGACTCCTGCAGAAAGCCTACCCTCAAGTCTGGGAGCCACAGGTTCTTAACCTTGACCCACTACACTGCCTTAAAGACCTCCCTTATAGCCGGGGGAAGTAGGAGGTAAGGGAACCATGGAAAGCTGACTTGGAATCCCTGAAGTCTCAGCTTCCACCGCTTCCCACTTATCTGATCTTAGATAAGTCACCTCTTCTGTCTGGGGCTGTTTCTTCACCTATGAGGCCCTCCTTCCATGGGGGTGGAGATGGGGGTGCTGTGAGCCAAAAGCCTTTTTGTAAACCTTTAAATATCATAGAAATGGAAGCTGTTCTAAGAAAAGGAGGAAGGAGGGAAAGACAGGGAGCCATGAAGGATCCCGCCCTACTCTTAATCTGCCCCATCCCAGACAATTCAAAGTCAGCCCTGTTAAGCCAAGCTTGTGTTTGGTTTTATCCAAAAGAAGAGTAGGGAGTTAGCTGGGGTGGGGAGGCTGAGGAGGAGGAAAAGGAAAGCAGGGAGCCATAAGGTGCTGAATGAAAGCCCTCTCCCCAAGAGAACCTCTGGTCCCAGGAGGTGTCTTCCAAGTATGAGATCTCCTTGGAGTAAAACCCAGATCATTTGCTTATTTTTTATCCTACCCAACACCAAGCACATTTATTATAAGTGAATGAATTTAGCAATGAGTGAATGGATTTCTTTCTCCTGGTCAATCCCAAATCCCCATAAGCCAGATCACACATGCTCTAAAGTTTCTCTCTCCAAAAGACCCCGAGCTCTCTCAGAGGTAACTGTGGTTTTTCCTCCCCCCCCCCACATCCGTTCCTTGTCCCTCAGAGGTGGACTGCGGTA